TTAATGCAATAAAATCGCTCAAACATCAATTATTACGACGGAAATATAAAGGTCTCCCAGTCAAGGAATATAATGACAATCTGACTAAACATTTTTTCCTGGGATTTCACCGGAGAACTCATCCCAACTTTAAACTCACCTGAAGCATGTCAAGTAGGACTATCGTGTATACGAGGACGGCATACTATATTATATTCCGGATAGCTTAGATCATACTTCGTATACTGCAGCTTTGAACTACATTCATAGAGACGTATTCTCTAAACCTCGATATGAATGCGTGAATGTCATACTTGGAGGTCGACCGTCCGCCACATTTAGCAGAAGTAGGGTGAAACCTGCGGCAAAAGACAAGAGTTGCTCTGGCACAACAGAGATCAAGAAGCAACACATGCTCAACGCTACTGGTTACGCATAGACCGTGCCTTCAGAGTCCATGATAACCCCGACATATTCAACTGTCCAGGCTCTCATACTTCACTAAACCCAATGAATTTGTGGACTAATCCAGTAGAAGTAGAGCATTTTCTCGGTTTGGACCTGGATTAAAATTGTTTAGTTTTAGATAGAAGAATAATAACCGGAAGATAAAAGGTAATAACCGGACACTGCTCAATTGGAGCCTTTAGGGGTAATGGGATCATTAACACACAGGATTTTTTGAGGTTGTGTGAGGACGAAGAAGAACTGGAGACAGTATAGCATATTTTATGCCACTGTCCCAGATTACATAGTCTGAGACTGAAATGGCTAGGTAAAGGATTCCACCATGAACTTGGATATGTAGCAGGGTATAACCTAGGCGACATTATGGGCTTCATCAGGGGAATTTTTTGGATTTTCAGATAACAGACAATTAAGTATTTCCCTTCCATGACCACTTCCTTTTTCTGTTCTCTTTTTGGAGGGAAAATCTCACTCTTCTCATCTCACTTCTGTCTTCTTTTGTTTTCTCCTTGTTCTTTATTAAAGGGATTCACAATGGACCTTTGGGTCTCCGAGTGGATGTATACATTGATATACAACAGATTCAAATATTCGTGTTAAATATCCTATAGTATCTCATCCAACTTACAGCTTTTTTTATAGCTGACACTTCAGCATGTAATATTCTATATTGGTCGTGTAGGTTTAAACTCACATTTTTTCTTACAGGGGGATATAGAATCAATTACACACACCCAACTAAAAGAAATAAATCTGTGATATTCTTGTCGGAAAGGATGAATGCATGACTAATTCCTTTAGACCTCTAAATGTACTCAACGCCCCATGTCAAAAAGCCATTTAGCAAGCTTGGGACTGTTGCTCCGGGTTCTCCTTATGCCCCAGGTTTTCCTCATTTCGTACAAGCACATAACATACTAATAACAAAACACTACGAATTTTTTTCGAAATGAAGTGTTTCTCAACCACTGTGCAAAATCTTAGCTTCTTCTTTTTTATAAAATATGCATTGTTTTGACAACAAACAGTGAAGTTTTCTGTTGTTTTGTATGGCAACACTGCGAAGTTTAATCTTGTACTCAAAAACATCAAACATAAGATTAAATTTATTTTTAGATTAACTAATCTGATTATTAATTGGCATTTGATTACCATCTCAAAAACCCGCTCTAAAATAACAAAAAAAAAACATTTAATTTATAAATACAACTAATCATAAACAAATATTAATGAATTTTTTATTTATCGAAACATATTTTAAATATTAATTTATTTGCCTACTAGCAAACTATTCAAATTTACTTAAAAACTCCACAAATATTTTCAAAAATAACGGTATTAACTCTATCAAACAAAATAAACTATAGCAGAAGCACCCTGTCTCATTTAATTTGTTTTCTTGACAATTGTCTCACACTATTTTTCTTTGTTTTCATTCTGTGACATTTGTAAACACACTCACACATCTCTGTTGCGTGTGCTTGTTCTTCTTAAATAAAATTTGAAAACGAAAACACATGTGCTTCCATAATTCTAAAAGAAAAATTTTGAAAAAGTCTAATAAAATACAATTAAATATATAGAAAATTGTTGAAAAGTGTAAGGAATTATGGCGGATCATGTATTTCATCGGCCTGGGCCGTTAAAACAGGCCAACAAGTCCCATAAAACGGGCAGACATCGTTCCAAAGGCGCCATTGATATTGCCCTCAAAGGTAAGTTCATTATAGTTTATTGAAATTGGGAATTTTTATAAAAATTTAAATGAAATTTCAGGCAAGGTATCGAATACGACCATCAGTCATAAACACAAGCAAGTCCAGCGTAAGGAACAGAGACGCAATCAAATGAATCAGGTATGTTGTGCTAATTAGAAGCCATTCCACGCAAATGGTTAAAATTGCGATTAATTTATTTTGCAGCTGCGTAAAAACAAACGTGAGGAAGCTTTGGCTGTGAAGCGTCAATTGGGTGGTCAAAACACCGCTCCCTTTTTGGTGTGCATATTGCCCATGCACTTGCAGGTCGATCCCCGTTCCGCCCTTAGTATTTTAGAAAATTGTGATGAGGAAGCTGTTGTGGAACGCACTGCCTCCGGTGTGACTTATATTAATTTGCCACGTTTCAAGCAAAGATTTGCCTTTGTTATACCTCCCGTGGGTAGAGGCAATGAGTTGGCCATATTGGATTATTTAAAAGTATGTGATACTACTTTAATGTTAACCTCGGCCGCTATGGGCGAAGATGAAGTTTTCGATAAGTGGGGACATCGTATTTACAATATGATCTCGGCTCAAACTATACCAACACCAGTGGTAGCCTTAATGGATTTGGAATCCCTTAATCCTAAACGTCGTTCAGCTGCTAAAGCGGCAGCTCAGAAATTCATTTCTAAATTGCTGCCTAAAGAGAAAATAATGCAATTGGATACAAATCCAGAAGGTAAGGTAAACAAATTTTAAAAAATCGAAAAGTTTTCTAAAATTTAATGTATTTTTAGGTTTAAATGTGTTGAGACGTATTGGTGGTCAAAAGAAAAACATTGTTTACAATCGCAATAATCGTCCCCATCTATTTGGTGATCATGTGGAATTTATACCCAATCCCAACCCTGCCGAAGATGAAGGCTTGCTAAAAGTTACCGGCTTTTTGCGTGGTACTCCTTTAGATGTAAATGGTTTAGTGCATATTGCTGGTTTGGGTGATTTCCAAATGTCGCAAATTGATGCTCCTCAGGATCCCTATAAACTAGATAAATCACGTAATCAAGAAATGTTACCCGAAGTACGTGTAGTGGCTAAGGCTGATCCCAATAAACAAACCTCTCTACAAACCGAGAATATACCAGATCCCATGGATGCTGAACAGACTTGGCCAACGGAAGAAGAAATTGCCCAATCTCAATTGGAAACCAAGAAAATGAAATTGATTAAACGTGTCCCTAAGGGTTACAGTGCTTACCAGGCTGCCTGGATTCCCGACATAGAAACAGTAGAGGCTGATGATGATGACAATGAAGATGAGGATATGGATGACGATGATGAGGAGGATGATGATGAAGACGAAGATAATGATGAAGATGAATTCATGTCGTGTGAAAACAAATCATTTGATGGTGAATTTGAAAAACCTGAATCCGACACGGAGGAATATGTTGACACCGCCTCTGTATCAGATGCTGCTATAAATGATGAAAAATATGATTTACAAATGGACTTCCATGAAGAACGTGAAACTATGAAAAAACTTAAGGAGGCTCGTATTGATGAAATGTGGCCCGATGAAATCGATACACCTTTAGATGTACCAGCTCGTACAAGATTCCAAAAGTTTAGAGGATTGGAGTCATTCAGGTATGTTTTGTTAAAATGTATAAATATAAAAATGACCTCCTGAAGAAGCTTTTAATTGCCCTAAAAATTCGGTTACAAAATGTTATTAGATTGGTGATAAATAGTTGTTACTAACTTTTTCTATCTTTTAAACTTTTAGAACATCTCCTTGGGATCCCAAAGAAAATTTACCCAGTGATTATGCACGCATTTATCAATTTCAAAATTTCGATCGTACCAAACGACGTATCATCAATGAAGCCAAAGAGATCGATGGCGCAGTAGTAAGTTTAACTAACAATTATAATCGCAATAAAAATAAAGTTAATTTCTTTTTATAACTTACAGCCTGGATGGTATATTACCATTCATGTGGCCAATGTGCCAGCCAGCAAATGGACTGCTTTCAAATCGGCTCAACAAACTGATAATGTTATAGTTTATGGCATATTGCCACACGAGCATCAAATGTCCGTCATGAATGTGGTGCTGAAACGTATGCCCGATTCGGAAATGCCCATTAAATCAAAAGAAAGACTTATTATACAATGCGGCTATAGAAGATTTGTGGTGAATCCCATATTCAGTCAGCATACCAACGGTGATAAACACAAGGTAAAGAGGTAGACTTAGGAAAGCTCAAATCATGTAACTAATTAAATATCCTTTGTTTCTAGTTTGAACGTTACTTCAGACCTCACACCACTGTCTGTGCTACATTTTATGCTCCCATACAATTTCCTCCTGCCCCTGTGCTGGCTTTTAAGACAAATCCTGATTCCACCCTAGCTATGGTAGCCAGAGGTTGTTTGCTTTCTTGCAATCCAGATCGTATTATTTTGAAACGTGTAGTTTTGAGTGGTCATCCCATGCGTATTAATCGTAAATCGGCCACCATACGTTACATGTTCTTCAACAAAGAGGATGTTGATTACTTTAAACCCGTCAAACTACGCACCAAGTGTGGTCGTTTAGGTCACATTAAGGAATCTTTGGGTACTCATGGTCACATGAAGTGTTACTTTGATGGTCAATTACGTTCTTATGACACAGTCTTTATGTATCTCTTCAAGCGTGTCTATCCCAAATGGACATATGATGATTGTTTAATAACCTGTGAAGATGATAGGGCTGTGGAGGCCATGCAGGAATAAATGAATTCTTATAAATAGTGCTTTATATATATATATATATAAAATACCGCAAATTCTCTAATTTTCGGTCAATGTATAAATTAAATAACATTTTTATTATTGTTAATAAAAACTAAAAAAACGAAAAAAAACTAAAACTTATACTATTAACATTAAAACAAGTACAATAATATCCTTGTTGTCCAGTCTCATGTTATTGCTTACAACTTATATTTGTGTAAAAATGAATTAATAATTTTCGCTACTTTCTCTGGTTCGTTGAGGTGAACGTGGTGTGTACCATCTACTTCATGGTACTCGAATTTAGGATTTTGTTTTAAAATGCTTAAAACCTCATCATAATATTCCTTTTTCTCGTAGTAGGGTCCCTGTAGAGCCTTAATAAACAAATGTGGACATTTGATACGTTTGGCCATTTGCACGGGAACATCTTGGGAAAATGCATAAAATAGGGAGGTTTTCAGGCGGCTGTCACGCGAGAAATAGTATTTGTGAGGTTCATGTTGTGAAGGTTTTGTATTACGTTGCAACAAATATTTACAGGTCTCCAAATCCACTGATTTTTCACTACCCATATGCAAACGCTCCACCAGTTGATCCCATTCATAACAAGGAGGCTCAGTTTTATCGCGTATTCTGCGCTCCACCTTCAAACTAGCCTCAATACGTTCGGCATAATTGTCGATAATTTTGTTGGCTGAACGAGTTATAGGCTTTAACACATCCAAACCAATTAACATGTCCACTTTATCGGGTAGTAAGGCGGTGAAAACAAATGAATTAATAGAACTCATCGAATGACCCATTAATGAGATCTTATCCCATTTAAATTCTTCCATTATGCGTCTTATCAAAGTGACATAATCCAACGAATGATAATGCATGCCCATGGGTAGCCAAGAGGAGAGGCCATGACCCGGCATATCTAAAGCTAGAAATGACATATTTGAAGGCAAGAAAGGAGCCAAAGTATCAAAGGTGCCAGCATTATCTTGCCAACCATGAAGACCCACAAGAGGACGTTCATGTTTGGGACCATACCATTTTCCCGCTATATGTCCCCAGGGTACGGGTATTTGAATTTCTTCAAACTGCAAAAGAAAATGGGAACTTATATTACAAATTATTTGTTACACTTTATTTATTAAAACTTACATGTTTTGTTTGAAATTGTTTAATTTTATTCTCAGCTTTTGTGGCAGAAAACGAACTGTTTCTTATTTGATGATTAAGATTCTTAACCAAGCGTAAGAGATGTGTTCTATTGTGGCTAGACATACTGTTTCGAGAGTCTGGAAGCAAATGTAAATAAACCTTAAGTTACAATAGACTTTATTTAAAAAAATTTCTTGAAAATTCTTAGAAATAATTTTCAATATTTATATTTATGGATTCTTACGAGAATGAATGAATGACTCAATTCGTTAATAATTAAGATAGAACGCTTCAACGGTGGCTTTCTTTATTTAAAGATTAATTAAGAATGTTTATCATAACCCACCACAGAACAGAAAAACGTGTAACCAATGTTAGGGGAATACCCTTATACGTAATCATGATTATTTGTACTAGAGTAAACATTTTTATATTGGAATTTTGAGAAATATTTCTGAGGAAAATTATCATTGCATGAATATACATATATGTATGTCCTTACCTACGATAAGAAGATATTTGAGAAGTAAAAGATGAAACAATAGTTTCTATAGCAAAATATAAAAGGAAGAAAGTAGTCAGAATCAGACGAAGAAAGTAATACCTATTATAGAGGATCTGAAACTTAATTGTATCCTCCAACAGAATGAACGACAAATTGCTCTGATAAATCCTAATTCTACTACTTCCTAGACATTTTCCCTGAGACCATGTAATCTAGGACAATAGCAATTTAAATGCTCAAATGTGTATAGCTGATTCGCGTTGCCAGAAGAAGTCCGGTATAGTCATATCCAAAATGCTAAGCCCCTACAGAATCCTTAGACAACATCTATCCAGTCCAATACCTTTGCCTCAAGCTTAGGAAATAATGCCGTTGATATCCTTTTATCCAATTTACTTCTCCATGACTGGTTATTTTGCAGATTCTTTAATAGAAGCAAACGGGTGGTTTGACATTCATGTCCCTTCCATTTAAGTACTTTGGTTGCCTTTTCATCAAGGCTTGGCCATAAGGCCTTTGATATCCTACAATCCAATTTTCTACTCCATAACTGATTATGGAATCTATCAAATATCATTCCTTAATAGTGGCAAACTGGTGATTTAACTTTATAGCACTATCATTTAGGTCAAGGTTCTTACCTTGCCTTTCAATTGTTTGATTGGAGCTTTCACCGGTATAGGGACAATACTAGTTTGGACCTAAATAAGGTTTTATGAGAATGTTAAATAGCTAGAGGAGAAAAGTGGTAAATTCCACGATAAATTGATAAGAGATAAGAAAAATCTTATCTATTCTCTATCTTCCTTCGATATTTGATTCTTTATAGATTAATCTGCCATTATGTAAAAAATAAATTTCTCCCAACGTCCGAAGCACACATTTCATTTCAGGAAGGAAAAATAATGAAAAAAAAACAAACATTATTTAATATACATATGAAGAAGAAATAGAGTCATAAACGTTCCGGCTAATATATTTTGCCATGTGAGTTGTTTTTTATGAATTCTATAATAACGCGTTATCAGTAAACAAATAAAAATTTTTAATTTGCAAATCAGCAGACACCCAACAATGATTTGTTATCAGATTTGTGTCCCTCAGAAGCGTTAATCAATCAATTTACAGCATAGATATATTGATACTTACATTTGTAGTTTAATAACTCGAACTAAATTAATTTTTTATAGCTAAGATATCACTCAATAATATTCAATGGATTACACTTCAACTGTTTTCCAATAAAAACAATTTGTTTTGCACACTGTCTCGTCTAGTATCTGGGAAAAGATTGCACAATTATGAAATTTCAATATTTGACGTCACCAATGTGTCAGCAATAGTAGCGTTGTCTGCAATACTTGTTTTTTAGAACTACAACAATAAAATTATTTCTGAAGAAACCTTGACAATGACTCGTTGTTTTTATTATTAAATCATTTGCTGGACTTTGAACTTTTTTCTATTTATTAATTTCACTTAAATTTAAAACATGTTACTTTGGTTAACGAAGTGTAAATGAAAATACGCGTTATATCTAAGAAATAGCACTGTCAATTCGTCAGAACGTTCATTGAAATTATTAGAAACTGATGTGAAAATAAAAATTAAAAGAAACCAAAATCTGTTGTCATAAAAAATGTTATGTAAAATTAACATCACGGGAGAGTAATATTTCGAAGCAAGTGAAAGAGAGAAGAAAAAGAAATTATAAAACAGAGTTGCCAAGTTTTAAAATATAGCGATTTTTTTTCAAAAAGAAATCGGTCATGCGAAAATGGCAAATATACTATTAGAAAAACGTTAAAAATTTCAGATATTTACCAAAAACTAGTTATGTCTATATTAGACAAATATTTATCACAGCACGTAACAAAACGTCGGCAGAACAATTGTCATTTTTTGTTTATGTATGCATAGGGGAAACAAAATGCTGATTTTATCACGACAACTCACAGATAATTTTACTAAAATTACACTATATTTTATAAAATAATTAAAATTGAAAACAAATTATGTAAATAAACACTAATTTCACAGAAAGTGATGTTAAAAACTATTTTAATTGCACAAAAACAAAATTCTATTCAAATTTTACAATAAAATGGCGTTTGTAATCAAGAGAATGTTGTCTCAACAATTGTTCTGACAACTTTGTCATGAAAAAATTAGACATGTGCTATGCACATTTTTATTTTTTTAGTTTATTAAATGCTACATTTTCAACATAATTCCTTGAAAATCAAAGATTAATCTTCAACCGTTTTAATTTATAAATAATATGAAAGCTTTATTTTCCATTGAATTAATACGCATGAAAATTATTTTTTATGGATATGAATTTAATTAAAATTAAAAATTGTTATTTAAATTTAAAATGCATAAACGTTCATTCAATCTATTTCATTTTGAATTGTTTAGGATTTTTAATTTAATTCAATAGAATGAATTTAAATAAAAATTTCTCTTTGGATCCAAAAAAAATCTGGGGTCTTAAGAAAATGTTCTTCAAAAGGCATTGCTTAATCGACTCTACTATCTATGAGGATCCACTTTATAGAGTCTGAAAATTAAGCGGTCAAAAATGCTATCAGGAACAATAATCGTAAATGATGCTCTATTACGAGCATTGATCTTAATTAAAGATTTAGACATCATTATACAATTCCATGCCCATATTACTCTTAATATGGTAATCAACATAATTTACGGTTGTATCAAGAGCAAAACGGGTTGCAAATATAGTCTTCTAGAAGGAATGGTTTTCAGAGGCTTATGTTTGTTGTAACATTAGACGAAGTTGACGGGAAAGGAGTTATTTCAGGAGTATGGGTATTTGTAATAGGGGTAACTATAACAGATTTAAGAGGAAAAACCAACAAATAAGCTGGAGCGATGTTTGAGTTTTGATCAAGGACAACATTCGCATAAGTTACGGTATTCAATGTAGGATATGGAGTAACAGTATTTTTTTAGGTGGAACCGGAGTTATTATTTAGAAGAAAAAAATTGTTGCTGCAATAATCAAATTCGTATTGCGGAAATCTTGTCTTAATAAATATTTTTTTTCTTTTTCCAAACACTAAATAGTATACAAAATATATTTTTGTGTATTTCCTATTAGACCACTAAAACTTCTGATTAGAAAAGACGTTTTTTTTAAATATGTATATAAACAGTTGCTATGATTCGCAAAAAGTTCAAATAATACGAATATTTACAACTGTTCTTAATAATTATGAGTTGGCAATACAGAACTGCTCAAAGTGTCTTGTATTTGATAAATACCGCTTAATGTGTGCTAAAAATCGCGAATTATTATTTATTTAAAATTATACGTTTACATTTTATCATTGTTTTATACAACGTTCACACTGTCATGTTTTTAAAGTGATTTAGAAAATAACCCAATAAATTTAAACACAACAGTTTATATATTAAATTATCGTAATATTTAGCTTTGAAATGTTTTCCCATGAAATGAGATGTTTTTAAACATGAAAAATGTATGAAGTGTTTTTGAAAAAAATTATGTTCAAAAAACAGGAAAGTGTGAACGTAGTATTATACCTCATTTACACATACACGAAATCTAGTAGATTTCATTTAAAATCCTTTTGCAAATCTAAACCGTTTACACTTACTCTTCTTGACATTTAGGAAGATTTCATTTTTTTTCTAATATTTCTGGAAAAAGTGTGTGATATAAAAAATAAGAAGGAAAAATGGGAAATTTATTCAAATTTTATTTATAATAAAAAATAGATATTTGAATATAACATTACCTTTTATTTTAGATTAACTTTTCATTCACGTTTTTCAATTTATAAAAATTTTGTCGACATTTAAATTTTTTTTGTTTATTTTGTTTGCTCTTTTTTCTTGTGTAGCGTCGTATTTTTTAGTATTATTTAGGGAAAAACAGAGTTGCATCACTAAAAACTATTAGATTTTGAGTAGATTTTAACGAAATCTAGTTACGAAATAGATTTTGTTTTGTATGGGAAATCTAGTTAAAATCAACTAGATTTGGCTTGAAATCTCATAAGTACTAGATTTCGTGTATGTGTAAATGGGGTATTATTTTTAATATCATTTAATTGAAACTTTTTCCTTATAGTATATAATATTGTGTAAAATAAAATCTTATACATATTTTTACATCACCAATTTTATAGCGAATTATAAATATCATTGAGATTTTTAGCAAAATTGTGAACGTATCTCAAGAAATATATTTTTTACGGAAAACAACAAAAAGTTTTCAATAAAAAACTGTTATAATTTCAATTTTCTACAGAGAAAATTTAATAGAAACTATTTTCTATATAACACACTGTTATTGATACCTATATAACAAGCGCTATTTTCTTATGAAAAATTTCCACTGTTTAAATTTACGCGACATTTACTTTTTATATCAAGCCGCCGACCAAAAGTTGCAGAAACGCCGCTTTTGGCTCAGCTTTTACAAAGTGTATTAATAAAGCGATGACAGAACTGGTTGTATGACAAACATCTACAAAAAACACAGGCAACTTGTTTTTGTTACTCACTATCGAACTGTCAAAATGAGCCTGTTGTTTTTGTTTTAAGCCAACAATCTGTCACAATTTTGCTGATGTTTTTGTTATTTTTACGCTAAAAAACTAAGCAGCTGGGCTATGACTCCACTCTGTTAATACACTTTGCATCAGTGTTTATTTGCCTTTATTGAGTATATGCTGCGCGGATGAGAGATTTACCGTTTTTTCTGTGTGTGTGACGTACGAAAAAAAGGAAAATTTTACAGAGAAAAAAAGTTAATTTTTTGCAATTAGAAAAATTTTATTATTCCAATTAGAGGAAAATTTATTGGAATTATAGAAAATTAACGAAATAAGTGTGTAATATGAAATAAATGTAAGCAAAAGCGAATGAAATAAACGAACGGAATTGCATTAAAAACGTTAATACAAAGCAATATACAAAAAATAAAATGTTAGAGATTTTTAAGTGAATTTTAAAAGAAAAAAAAAAGAAACAAGCAAGAACATCTGAAGAGAACAAAAACGAAAGAAAGCAACACTTCCCCATCATCCTCTTAGAAAAAAGGAAAGAGGATTCCGAAGGAATTTTGTTACAAGCAGAATAAGTGCAAAAGTGTAGCGATATGCCGTTATTTGGCAAAAAGGATTCGGCCAAGAAAAGTAAGGCCAAGGAAATTAAGGAATTAAACAAAACCATACCAATAGAGGATAAGTACAATTTACATGGCCTACTGGGTACAGGGGCATTTTCTGAGGTACGCTTGGCGGAGAGCAAAGACGAACCTGGCAAACACTATGCGGTAAAAATAATCGATAAAAAAGCGCTGAAGGGCAAAGAGGAATCGTTAGAAAATGAAATACGTGTGTTGAGAAGATTCAGTGCCAATCATCAGAATGATAATGCCGCTGCAACAGATTCCACTGGTAACAACAGATTAACACACCCAAATATAGTGCAACTATATGAAACGTATGAAGATAAATCAAAAATCTATCTGGTCATGGAACTAGTGACCGGAGGTGAACTATTCGATCGTATTGTGGAAAAGGGTTCCTATACCGAAAAGGATGCCTCAGACTTGATACGACAAATCCTCGAAGCCGTCGACTATATGCACGAGCAGGGAGTGGTGCACAGAGACTTGAAGCCGGAAAATTTACTTTTCTACAGTCCCGACGATGATAGCAAGATTATGATAAGTGATTTTGGTCTCTCGAAAATGGAGGATTCCGGTATAATGGCCACAGCCTGTGGCACACCCGGCTACGTGGCCCCCGAAGTGCTGGCCCAAAAGCCTTACGGCAAAGCAGTGGATATTTGGAGTATAGGTGTCATCTCGTACATTCTCCTCTGCGGCTATCCGCCATTTTACGATGAGAATGATGCCAATCTATTTGCCCAAATCTTAAAGGGCGAATTTGAATTCGATTCACCCTACTGGGATGAAATCAGTGATTCGGCTAAGGATTTCATACGACACTTAATGTGTGTTAATGTTGAGAAACGTTTCAACTGCAAACAAGCGCTAGCACACCCTTGGATCTCAGGCAATGCAGCCGGCAATAAAAATATTCACGCCACGGTTTCAGAACAACTCAAAAAGAATTTCGCCAAATCCCGTTGGAAGCAGGCCTACTTGGCCGCCACCGTTATACGACAAATGCAACGTTTGGCCATGGGCGAGGGTAGTAAAAGTAATTTGTTAAAGGACTCAAAAAACAACACTAGCAGTTCACAAACAACCACCGAAGGTGATTCAACAACTAGTGCGAGTGCTGCTGGTGGAGCAGGAGGTGGAGGAGAAAGTAGTGGTAGTGCTAAGCAAACGATTAATGAAAATACGACGTCGCCATCATCATCATCGAATGCTGCTGAGTTTCAAAGTCAAAGAATCTCATCGCCTAGTTCTGCGGCCGCTGCATCTTGCCTAAATGGTAGTGATCAGAGGAACAAATAAATAGTGGTAAATGGTTTTTAAAATGAACTAGATTAAACTAACCCAAAAAAATAATTTCGATATGAACCAAAAAAAAAGTGATGCAAAAGAAACAAAAAACAAATTAGGAAAATCAAATCGAATTATTTTTTTCTTTTTTCATAAATTGAATACTGCACATTAACAAAAAATTAAAAAAAAATAATAATAATTATAATTATATAGTCGCATTAAGGGCTTTCAAAACGTAAAAAATCAGAGTTAAAGATTGTTTTTAATTTTAATTAATTTTATTGCTTAAATTCTTTAAATAATTACTTAAGATTAATACTTTTTATTGTGTATTTTTTAAATTTAAAGTTGTTATTTTTGGAAAATTGTTTTGCCCCGAAGATGTTAAAACTTTTGTTGTTTTTACTATTAGAAAATTTCTAATTATTCTGAAATTATGTATTACTTTTCCTAAGGGTAAATCTGTGCTGTTTTAAATTACAGTGTTAAGTGCGAAACAAAATTCTTAAAATTTCTTTTTGTCCAGTTGAATACATGACCATCTAAGAGACTGACAGCCTTTCTGATATCTTTCTTATATTATCAAAATTGAAAATTGTTACTTTGAAGCAAAAATTACTTAAATGGTCAACTTCTAATACTAGAAGTTCTTTTTAAAAGGGTCTGATTGATGTTATTTAGTTTTTGTTTCGAAGACTTTGAAAAACAGTTTCAATTTTGAACAAAAATCTTATTTCCTTTTAAAAAAATTTGATTTTTTGTTATTTTTATTAAATATTTGAAATGATTCCGTAAACTCATTAGGTAAAGTACAAAGCACTATTTTATATAAATATTATTTACGTTTTTTTTGGGTAATTTTCATATAACATTTAAACAAGAGTGTTTTGATTTCATTCTGATTAAAACAAGTTTTCTAATATCAATTCAAAGTTTGAACTTTAAAAGCAATAAATGATGAATGTTAATATGCTAACAAATAGCTAGCTATCGCAGTTTTTATAATACTTTATAAACAATAAATATGACTTTGATGTCATATTTGTTTTGTTTCATTAAAGTTCAAAACAATGTTTTCGTCTATTTGTTGATAATTCCTATTAACTCGCAAATCGAAAATCTTCTACGACAAAATAACAACTTTACTAGCTCATTTTATATTATTTATCGATATTTTAAAAATTTTTTTTTTTAAACGAATTTATTTTTTTATACATATTTTATATTTATAACAATTTTATTATCTAAAGCTTTGCTCATTCCCAACTTTCTACTTAGTTTGCCAGTCAACTTAAATGTCTTAATTATTAAGAAAAATCGTTTAAAAATCCATTAATATTTACAGCAAAAGTCATAAAATGAATATGAATTATACACAATTTTTTTTCTTATCACCAAGTTTAAGTGTGATCGTGCAAATTTTTCTAATATATAATAATAACTAAACAATATTTATATTGTAGGTATTTTTTTAATAATTTATTATTCAAACGAATTTATATTATTACTACTATTTTATGTATTAGCTTAATACCATTGATCTTTAACCCTGATTTTCTATGAAAAACATTTTTAACTATTTGCAAATTAAAACAAAAAAAAAAAAACAAGTATAACAAACAAAAAAAAAGTTATATAAAAACGTGTAACAGAAAAAAATAATTAAAGAGAGCAGACAGACGCATATTTAATCCATGACGAAAAGAATTATTAACAATTAAACAAAACAAAATATACAAAATAAAATACTGCACCTGCTTGTACTCTTACATATTTAATAATATAACAACAACAACCTATAATTATCTTTTTCTTACATATATTTATATATATTAAAAAAAATTAAAAATAACAACAACATATGTTTGTAACAAAAAAAGTAACAATTATACATTAATTAATAACAAAATATATACATACAAAGATTTAAAATAAAAAGAAATTACAACAACTTAAGCTCTCTTAAATATATTAACAAAAAATTTAAAAATTACAAGAAAATATTACTAAAAAAAACAAAATTATACTTACATATACATATATACACAGTTATATTATATACTACTTACATTTACATAATAAATACATAACTAAATACTTAATGAAAATCTTAAAAAAGAAAACATTTTTTATAACTCTGCTTAAAGTAAAAAAAAAAACAATTAAAAGCCACTTTATATAAAAACAAAAATCTCATACTTATATTTAAATTTAAGCTATAAAATTATTATTTTTAATTCTTATATACTTTTTTTGTAAACCTAACTTAAATATTTAAAGAAAACAAAATAAAACATTCTCTTTCCAAACTTACTTAAAGTCTCTCTAAAACGCTCTCTAATTAAATACTTAATTATTGTACTTATATTTATTGATTTCTTTTAAAAACCACTACTTAGTAGTCTATTAAAAAGATTGAATTGCAAGAATGAAATTAAGAAACAGAAAAAAAAGAAAACCTTTATCTATACAAAATAAGTAAAAACTTTATTAAATTATTATTTATACTTAAAACTGTTTACACAGTCTAAAAAAACATGATTTTCCCCAAAGGAACTGTAGTTGTAAGTGATAAATCAAAAAAATATGAAATGATGATACGAGTATAACTTAAATTTCAAGTTTTAAAATTTGGTCCAACTAAATTTTAAATATTAAAAATTTTTTTAAATAAAAAACTTTTTGTTTAAAACAATTAAAAAAGTTAAACACGCTAAACAAATTTATACAGAATTAAAATAAACAAATGCATAAACAGTAAAACATTTAATGTTATTAAAAATAAAATAAATCAACTTAAAACATTACTTTTAAACAAATTTCACAAACTTAACAACATTTAAATTTAAGCTAAAAAATGTAAAAACAATGTCTATTATAGAATTGGTTTAATTCAGATGGAGATTGCAATTTTTAACCGCAGAAGGTTATGCACCATAAAAAGGTGCTAGTTCACTTGGAGGTTCATTTTGATTCTCTTCATAGAGTATGAATATCCAAGGATAGAGAAATAAACACTAGAAGAAAACAGAAAAAGAGAAAACAGCAGGAGAGAGGAATAAAAACAGATCAGTTACTGAATTGATTTCCTAAGAAAGTATAATTTCTCTGATAAAACCTAGTTATATTCAGTTAAACTTTATTATATTCAGTCAAACTTCAAGACAATTAGCAATATTTTTGAAAATTCGAACTTTAATTTTTTCGAACATGACTAAAAATGTGGCATATTTAATTATAGACACAAATTTCATTCAAAAATTTAAGTAAAAATTACATTTTGGCAATATTTTTGATTTTCGAAAAATTCGAAATTAAGTTCGAATTTTGAAAAATCACAGCAAAATGCAAAAAATTTAAGTCTAAGGTCAAATTTTTTTACGAAATTTAAGGATTTTCGAAAAATTAGAATTTTCTAACATCTTCGAATTACTGCAAACTCATTTAAATATTACGTTTAACCACCAATAGTTTTGAAATTCGAACAATTAAATTTTATGTTTTCTGCTGTTACTTTTCAAAGTAAAACTGGAAAGTGATGTGATGCAATGTTCGAAAAATTCGAACTTACGGAATGATACATAGTTTAATAAGGTTTAGAGTCAAGATCACCACGGCGGGTAATTCTATAACTCGATTCGAAAGCAAAATTGTTGGAATTTGTATGTTGAATACATAAAGTTTCGAAAGCAAAGGACCCACTTCTGTTTATCACATCAGAGATATTTTAAAAGTGCAGATCTGAGGATACACTGTCTTAAAAATTACTGATTTGTTCTAAACAAAGCTCTAGATTTTCACAAGTTATTGCATTCTTGAATATAACTTTTCGATCATCTTGCACACTTGCTAGAGCGTGGTCTCATATGGACCCATGTACCTATCTCATTGGTCTTTGTAGACTACAAACTAGGAAAGCTTGTATTTATCATTACTGGTCACTGTAAATTTGGTTAGACGTATTGGTATTCCATATAATGATTTCTGCAGAAGTTGTTAGAATGTGGATAAAGATAAGACGTTAGCCCATCTTCTCTAAAATTATCCAGCCCTAGTAACGGCTCGAAACCGAACTCTAGGTTTAGGTAAGACGGATAGCCACTCAATCATTAGTGGCTCACATGGGTCCACCCAATCGCGGTACCGTTGTGATACCTTAGTGGTCATAGGAGTCCATTAAGTATTACTCACTACTTCCAGATTTAAACCAGTCGGTTAGATTCATAAAATTTAGGATATTATTAAGGCATATCCCAGATAGCTCAACCAAACAAGATAGAGCAGCAAAGCCAAAACAATATTTTCTGCTTTCATTGAGTGATCGTCAACAGCAGAGTAGGTGAGGTATTATTTCCTCTTCCACCTCATTATTAGGGCTTATTTTTCTGGCGTGATTGCCAATAGTACAGTTTCCCACTATGACTGATATCAGCATTCTTATCTGTTCCCTGCGAAAGCTTAATAATAAGCTTCACCTGGAAGCATCGTATAGAGGCCAAATTGACCTCATAGTGAGTCAGGTAATTTCGCTGAACCATCTTATTTAAGCCATTTCATACATATACTGCAGTCTGAACCAATGACTTAAAATTTGTAAGGGAGATATAAGTAAATGCTTAAATTTCGTCTTCCCCTCTACTTGCCGAACTGTGTGGTCGGCTTATTTCAACGATATATCTAATCTATCGTATGATCAATTAGAAAAACTCATATACCAATTTGTCAAAGTGAGTGTGAACTTTAGTTTGTTAGCCATTTCTTATATCTCCATTCTTTCCGTCTCTTCCATCTCTATTATTGTTTTCTAAAGTTTTTTTTTTTTACAAAGGGACCGAAGACCCAAGCATTGGTAACCTGTTAAAACCTAGCCTAACGCAGGTTAGGTTGAATATGTTGCACCTTCCAGATTTAATGCACGCTCATTTTCCACTTTTTATTATTTATGTATATAAACAAGTGCAATGGAATGTCTTCATTTCATATTGATTCTATCAAATCTAGAAAAGGAATTACAATTTATGAGATCTTTACTAACATAAAATTGAGTTTAAATATTTAAAGCAATTTCAATTTAAACAAATTTAACGCTGTAAATGAATGTCTAACTAATTTGGGTGTAAACTCCCTTAAGGGAAAGTTAATTATAAAACGCTACCAGAAAAATACTCTTGGAATAATTGTTTTTTAATTTTTAAATGTATGTATGGCCTAACGTAGTAACACTTTATGTACTTACATTTTTAGACATATTAGAACTATGCAGCCGGTTTACTGTGTTGAGAGTTCATTAGCTTTCTAATGGGGAAACGATAAGCGGAAACTTTTACTTAATTAAATTATATAAAGAAATAATGCTAAATAATTTAATTAGAAAATAATAGAGAATGGTGTATTTGAAAAAAAAATAAACTATAACGTTTGGAATCTGTAAACAGATAACATCGATGTTATAGTTTTTAAAATACCAAATAAATATTTAAAACTAAACAATTTTTTAATTTCAAATAAAAAAAAATCGTTAATTAAGGTTCTAAATTCTTTACTAATTAATTGTTTATGACATTGATACATCATTATGAACTGGCTTAATGATCAATTTTTAAAGATCCCCCTTGGGGAAGAAATTAATTATTTGCTTAAAAACTTATAAGGTGCCAAAATAAAATTTTAAATTTTAAAGTGATAATGTTGATTAATTCGAAAGTGTTAAAAAATATACAAATTTCTTTATAAAAGTTGCTTGTATATTAAAAAAAAAAAACTTTCAAAAACTTTCTTTAAGAAAATATAAACATTTTTTTTATAAATTTATTAAAATATTGGATAGAAATTTTGTAAGGATTTTGGGACAACATTTATTAGGCAGTGTAAACAGAACTTAAGTATAACATAAACTTAAATAAAATTTTACTTAAACTATAAAATTAATAAAAGCAAAAGCATTTTCTTGAAACACTTTTAACATTCTATTTAAAACAGTATACAAAATATAATAATGAATAAAAAAAATAACTATATGCATTAAGCTCTCTAGACTCTTTATACATTTCCAAAAATAAATTTAATAAAAATAAATAAATAAAGGAAAACAAAATATTTAAAATGTTAAACGAAGAAATAAACAAAATAGAAAATTTCCAAATAATGAAAGGAAAACTAAAATAATAAAATACTCCAATAAATTAAACGTATCCCAACTAATTATATCCAAACAAACCAAACAACCCACACGCATATTTGAAACCACAAGAAAAAATAAAAATACAATTAAATGCAATACCCAACAATAAATACATTTATACATATTTAATTTATACAAAAAAGAAAAAAACTATTACAAATATTTAATTATACATGTGTTTTTTTCTATTTAATAAACTTTATAAACTTCATTTTGTTTACACAGAAATCTTCCTTCTGTTTTAATTTCAAAATTAATCTATTAAATAAAAAATTTGTTAATTCTCTTAACTCTTAATTCTATAACTTATTTATTATTAAAAGAAAATATTAAAACAAACAGACATTGTTTAATTATTCTACTATATTTAATTCCTATGCAACTAAAAAAGGTTAAAAAGTAAATTTTAAGATTTGCAAACAAAATTATTAAAAAAAATATTAAATTAAAAAAAAAAACTGCAAACAAAAAAGAAAACAATTAAAAAATAAAAATACAAAATATTTCAATGTTACACTTGCATATTTATTAAGAAAGACGATCGAT